TAAGACGGGCCTGGTTGAGAGCTCGAGTATATAGGTAGTCACCTAGAGTTCTCTTCATCATGAGGTCAAGATATATGTGTTGTCTTATATATTAGTGTAAGAAACTGGGGGAAAAACGAGTGTGGGCCCACTAACATAAAGCGCACCATGAGAGGAAAAAGCTCATATGAAGTCCAAGTGGAGTTCCATTCCAAAACCAATTGCTGGAAGGAGAGTAGTCCATTAGACTTATAAGGTGGGTCTATTTTCCATGTATGAACGATGTGAGACAACTCACAAGTGATATTTCAACACGCCCCCTAACTTGTGAGTCTTTCGGAAGCCCAAGCCCTACTGGGTGTCCTAAGCCTACTAGAAGTAGACTCCTATAAACGGGTACGTGGGGAAGCAGACTCCCATAAACGGATGCGAGAGGCTCAAGCCCAACTGGGTGCCCCAAGCCTATTAGAAGTAGAAAGTCCAAGCCCAACTGGGCGCCCCAAGCCTACTAGAAGTAGACTCTCATAAACGGGTACATGGAGAAGCAGACTCTCATAAACGGATGCGAGAAGCCCAAGCCCAACTGAGTGCCCCAAGCCTACTAGTAGACTCCCATAAACGGGTACGTGGGGAAGCAGACTTCCATAAACGGGTATGTCATCGCACGGTCCTAATAGAACCGGCTCTGATACCATGTAAGAAACTGGGGAAAAAATGGGTGCGGGCCCACTAACATAAAACGCACCATGAGAGGGAAAAGCCCATATGAAACCCAAGTGGGGTTTCATCCCAAAACCAATTGGTGGAAGGAAGAGTATCCCATTAGACTTATAAGGTGGGTCTATTTTCCATGTATGAACGATGTGGGACAACTCACAAGTGATATTCTAACAATTAGATAATGCAAAAAAAGATATTTCAGTATTATCTCTAAAAAAATATTCTACTTTGATCGTCAAAGTTTATATGCCGAGAGTTATCAGGGGTCGAGAACCCAACAAGTCGGTGTGAATCGCCTCAGATATATTAATTTGTTTTTTGAAGATTTTTCAATACAAGGCCTGAAAAATGGGTAAACTATCAATTCGGGGCTTGAAAGATTTTTTATTCAATTCGGGACATAAATGTTATAAAACTATCAAATTAAGTCCTACAATTAACAACACTCATAAAACTATCAAATTGAGAGCTAATTTGAAGTTTTAAAACACCAAATCTATTTTTTTTTTTAATATTATGCAAATGTTTACTTATTATTTTATGTGAATAAGCAACATCTTTTATTTTTCTTCAAATTTGATGTTTTAAAACTTCAAATTAACTCTCAATTTAATGGTTTTATGAGTGTTGTTTATTGTAGGACTTAATTTGATAGTTTATAACATTTAGATCCCGAATTAAGAAAAAAAATCTTCCAGACCCTGAATTGATAGTTTACCCGTCTTTCACGCCTTGTATTGAAAATACTCAATGTTCTTAATATGATCTTAGGGCATTTCTAATGCTCTAATGTTGTTGTAGAATAAATTTTGACAAATGTCGATAAATTAAATGGATTGTGAAACATGTAGGAAAAATGTTAAGTTAACAACTATGAAATTAAAAAATTATCTCTAATGCACAATGTAGTCTAACTACATTATTATCTACTTACCAATGCACAATGTAGTCTTGTATGTCTCACTACTCTCACTTTTTCGTCATTTTCGAATTGCGTTTTTAATGTTCGTCATGTTTGTTTGCAAAAAACAGTTATAAAAAGGTTCTTTTCGCAAAAGGTCCATTATGTTTTGCACAAAAAAAAAAAAGTTTTAATTCCGTCCTTTATGTATGAAATAACCTTTTTGTAATTTTTTTGCAAACATATGGGACGAAAATAAAAAACGTAGTTCGAAAAGGACGAAAATGCTATCACAGTTAAACATAATGATTAATGAATAAAACCACAATTGACTATTTAGATTTTATTTGTTTTTGTGCAAAGAAGGAGGCCAACGGCCTATGCGTTAACTAAAACACGGCGGGGTTAGTAAACCTCGATAACATCATGCATAAGCTAATCTCCCAAACTAGGGGGAGGAGAATATACATACGACTTTGAATGTTAATGTTTATACCTTTCGCATGTAACCCAACTAACTTGGTGTGGATTTACATTGCTATGCTTGGTATAACTAGCTGATAAACTATTTTATAGCTTATTAGTAATTTTTTAGCTTATAGTTTATGACTTAAAGCTGATAAGTTAACTTATGTGATAAAAGTGTTTGGTAAAATTAGTTGATAAGCTAGCTGGAACAAAAAATCCAACTAGCTTATTTGAAAAACTACCTAAGGAAGCTTATCAAATAAGTTTGAGCTTTTTAAAAAAGCTCGTCCTACCAAACGAGACTTATTTGAATACAATGAGCTTATAAGTTAACCAAATAAGCTATAAGATAGTTTATTTGTCTACCAAACATAACCATTCATTTGTTTTTAAGAGAGAGAAAGAGAGAGAGGCTAGTAACAACTAGGGGTGAGCGTGAGTCGGTACGGTTTGTAGATTGATAAATCTCCAGAACCGTACCAATTCGGAGATCCCAAAATTTGATCTCCGGAACCGTACCAAAAAGTCGGTTCGGTTCGGTTCGGATATTTTTATTTTTCGGTTCGTTTCGGTATTCGGGACTATTGGGACATTTCGGTTCAGTATGGTTTGGTTCGGATAACGAAATTTTTTATTTTTTTAAATTATTTTTAAATGATTACCTAGTTATATTTTATTTTTTATATGATTTAAAAAAATGAAATTCATCAATAATTCATGATATTGAAAATTTTATTTTGAAATCAATTCTAGAAGTAACTCTAAATTTTACTTATTTTATTTTATATATGCTTTAATAAAACCAACATTCATCACTACTTCCTCACATTAAAGATTTTAGTTTGAAATCAACTTTATAAGTAACTCTAAACTTTAGTTATAACTAAATTTGTGTAACTAATATTAATAATTTAAAATTCAAATAAAATATTAATTTTTCCTTTAAAAAAATATTCTTTAAACTTTCATATTATTTTAAATAATTATTTTATAATAGAAAAAATTCAATTGTAGATGACGTATTACCAAGCATGAAATTCAAGTGCAGGTTAATATTTATTACTATATTATATAGAATCAAAGTTGACATAAAATATATTAATAACACATCTAATGTTATAATTTGGTTCTTAACTTCGGTTCTTCGGTTCGGTACAGTATGAGAAGGTTCGGTTCGGTTCTCGGTACAGATATTTGTAAAATCTCCAGAACCGTACTAATTATTTTTTCGGTTCAGTTATGTTCGGAGAAAGTCAACCGGTCAACGGTATTTTTCTGTTCGGAGTGATTTCGGTTCAGTTTTCGGAACGGTTCAAAATTTTCGAATCTCATGCTCAGCCCTAGTAACAACCAGAAAAAAAACACACATACATAAACAAAATGATACAAATATATAATCACTAACAAGAAAAGAAAAATATTCAAAATTGATATAAATTATCAAGCTTGGCACCACACACATGTGAAAAAACTGTAACAAAAACAAAATGCTCCCCGTATAAATACAATTAAAAATAAATAATCAATCAAGAAAGAGTACTGTAATCAAGCATAAACAAGTGAACAATACTAAACCAAACCAAAAAAATAAATCCATACTCTTTTTTTTTTTTACTTTTATTATCTACATATTAAGCCTCTTGTGTGACTTGAAGGTTTTCAGATTGTTCATCCTCTGTGGCACTAGCATTTTGATCATCATCAGTATTAGTATTAGTATCCGTGTTATTTTGATCGCCCGTATTTTTCTTGAGAGACGCGGTTTTTGCGAGGTGTGTGTAGCTTCCTTTTTCCTTGAAAAGTTGGGCAAAATGCGGCTTGCAATAGAGAACTCCATCTAAAGCCGCGTAAGATGAGGTCGTCAGGAAGCAACCTCCGTGTGCGCACCTGAAGCACGACTTGTGATAGAATTCTCCCTCCATTGTCACCTACGGTGTTTTCAATTTTACCCAAAAAAATAAGGAAGACGAATTAGCAATCGTCGTGATTTTGATGTAGATGTCAATATAATACGAAAAAAAAAAAGCTTTTGAATTTGAAAGTTAGATCGTGTAGCACAAACGGGTATTTCGTGATCACGATCCATGAGTGTGTGTCAATCCAATGGTAAAAAAAGAACGATGTGTGCAAATATGTACGATTTTTTCTGGTAATAACAACCTTTTCTAGTGGATAAACTGTCTTTGTACAGACAGCACATTTGTCTTGGGTGCCAGAGAAAAATGAGGAGACTCTGCTTGGTGCTCTGTTCTGTATTTACATAATTTTAAACAAATCCCAAATCAAACTTTTTTTTTTTTAATTTTAATTAAAAATAGTTTTGTTAGGTCACATAGAATATAATATAAATTGAATTGAGATTATATTATTATGAGGCTTTGTACCAGTTCTCCTTGCTTCAAAGCTGAAAAAAGACAAAAAAAATAATAAATAATAATAATTAAACAAAATTATACAAAAACCAAATGAATTTTTTTTATAAAAAAATAGATATGGTCACATATAAATATATATATATATATATATATAAACTCACATGATTGAAATTTCTTGGTGGTGAAGCTACCAGTTTCTCTAAATAGCTGTTCAAAATGAGGCTTGCAGTATAGTTGACCCTCCACAGCAGAATAGTTGCTCATCTGAAAAGAATAAAATAAAAACATTATTATAACAAAAACAAAATTCCCAAATGTATTTTCTTTTTCAATCTTGTTTGATCATATACAACGAATTAAATTGTAATCGTACCGCGAGACGGCCGTTACAATGGGAGCACTTGAAGCATTGCTTGTGGTACGGAACTCCATCCGCAGATACCATCTCGGCAAAATGCACGGTTTTATCGCAAGCCTTGCATTTCTGCGTGGTCCCGGAAAACGACATGTTTATTTTACTTTATTTTTTTTTCTATTGATGATTGAATTTTCAAAATGTGGTGATTATTGATGATCAAATTTACACCACATATGGAGCTTTTTTTTGTCCTTCTCTTTTGTTCTTGCCTTTTAATTGTCTTGTGATAGAGGGTGGAACAAAAAAAAATGATCTTTTTTAGATGAGGATAATGCAAATTTATATGTTTATGTGTGTGTTAATTTTGCATGCAAGTTTTAAAAAGGACTGGAGATTATAGGCTTTAGACAACCAGCCAACCATTAGTCAATTCAGCCTAATATTAAGGAGATGGGGTGGAAAAGAGTTATTTTTGTTCAAATTTTGAACCAACCAAGGAAAAAAGGAGACATATCCTTGTGAGGGAGAAAATGCATAGGATGATAGAATATTAATAAAAATAATAATAGTTTGAATGGAGGGAAAAAAAAAAAATGGAGCCAAAATGAAATGTTGAGAGCTTAAAATTAGGCAAAATTGGATTTTGTGCCTTGTAATTTGTGTCGTGTGGCAAATCTGAATAGCTTTTTGTTTGTTTGTCAAAACAAAACAATAACTTGTACCGAAATTTTACTGGTAAGTGCTGACTCAGCCCGATTTATCCTATGTTGATGCGCATGTGTCGTAGAAGAACGCCAAATCAACATAACTACGTGGACAACTTTTTTTTTTCTTTGTTTGGCAAAACAAGACACTAACTTGTTAAAACTTGAAATTTGTGTCCAATTTACCTATATGTTACTGAAAAATTTCACCGGTAGGTACTGACTCACCCTGCTTTATCCTGCGTGGATGTGCATGTGTCACAAAAGACCGAATTTTGACTAGAATTTATAGATCTAAAAACTTTGACCGGAGCAATTGATGGTCTTACCGATAGAATTTCTGCCGAAAATGTTAGGAGCTGAATGAAGACTAGAAGAGCTTCAAGACGATATAAAAAAACTTCGATCGGAGGTGGTCGGCCAGCAGTGAACGCGGTTGTATTTGCCGTAAATAATGGGTCTCTGAAAAAGGTTGTCGGTTCTAGAGAAGGTGTATATCTTCGCGTGCACGGCGGCGCAAGGAGTATGGAGATGTCCTCAGATTTTTGGTGGGTCGTCGTGAACCTTTGGGAAATTGAATAAGAAAATCGAATTTTGACCAAAATTTCTAGATCTAAAAACTATGGCCGAAACAACTGAAATTATTGCCAAAAATTTTAAGAGGTGAACGTGGCAAGAGAAGGTTCAAGATGATATAAAAAAGTTTCCGATTGGAAGTGGTCGACCGACGGCCGACGAATGACAGCGGAGGTGGTCGACCAACGATTGATTTATTGTTACTATTATTTATTTTGCAAATTGACCAGGTGTATGTATCTACTCTACGAAAAAAATAATAACAGTAATAATAATAAATTATTTTTCAAATGTTGTTTAAGGTGACTATTTATTTATTTATTTATTTATTTACTTTATTCTAATATATGAGTTCCGTTGATATGAAGGTATTTTGTGACACATGCGCATTCACGCAGGATAAATTGATGTTAGTCAATGTCTACCGATGAAATTCGGTAACATGTAGATGAACACGAATTTCATGTTATAATAAGTTACTGTCTTGTTTTGATAAATGAAAAATAAGTTGTCCACATTTACCATACGACACAAATTAGAGGGCACAAAATATAATTTCGGCATTAATATTATGAATTCTCATAAAATTTATAAATTGCAAATGTATAAATTAATGAACATATTATAACTTTTTTCTGTACCATTTATATTGCCTTTCTAAGGCCCGATACTTTTAAAATGGTTCTATGCCAAATCGAAATCCATAAACCATAACCGTTATATATTAATGGATTTGCTCACAGTTGACCTATCGATTAAAATGTTAAAATCTGGTGATCTTTCAAGTTTTAATCAAGTTTTACTAAATTATAAATATTCAAGAGGTAAAAAATAAAAAACGGTCTTTTCAAGGTGTGTTGCAAAAGCATTGGCCTAATTGGACCGAGCTTCATTTTTTGCTTTTCGAGCTCGACTTGAATTTCATCATCTTGAATTTTAGTTAAGTTCGAATCGAACTTTTTATTTAAAAATATAAATTTGGCTCTCATTTAAGAGTTCGAATTGTGTATTCAGGAGAATTACCCTTATATACTCGAGCGACTCGTCGAGCACTCGAGAGTTTAACTTATAACAAACACAATCGAATTTGTGTCCAAGTTAAAAGTATTCGAGCTCGACTTGTACTCCATCAAATCCGAACTCGAGCATGAGCACTCAGAGTTGAACCTACAAGTTAACAAACACGATCGAATTTGATTTTGAGTTCGAGTTCAAGGTATTCGAACTCGACTTGTACTCTATCAAAGTAAAACTCGACATGAGCTTTATTTTTTTAGCCGCGGTAATTCGCATTCTTACTTAAAACAATCCCTATTTACAAATTGAAAATACATGGAAAATTACAAAAGACCACCCATCCACGCGTCAAAAAATCCACTCACAAGCACTAAAGTGTCCCAAAAACCTAAAAGATGAAAAAAGAGAGAAAAAAAATGCAAAATTGCATTTTTTGGCATGTTGGTTTAACGCCGTAACATTTTTAGTCTCAAGAATCTAATTTTTTGTCTTTTGATCCTGTAATTTAATATTTTATTGCAATTTCAATTCTTTGAGGTCTGAATTGCAATAAAATTTAAAATTACATGACTTAAATTGTTAATAAAAAATTTATCCCAAAGATTTTTTATTAATAATTTTAAGTCTTATAATTTAAAATTTTGTTGAGGATTGAAATTGCGTTAAATTTTTAAATTATATGACCAAATAGCAAAACGTTCAGATCTTAAGACTAAAAACGCCCTTGAATCAAAAACTAACATGACTAAAATTACAATTTTGCCTAAAAAAAAATAAATAAAAGAATTAAACAAAACAAAACTTTCACAAGTAGAAAAAAGTACACACTGCACCCAGTTTAAACTAGAAAACATGGGATGGGCTCACGTTTTTCTTAGTCCACGCCCATAGACTGTCCCCACACACAACCCTATATATAAACTATAATAATTTCATTTTTCTCTCATCTCAAGCTTAATTATATGGACGTCTACATTTCTGAAGAGTACGTGCTCAAGCGAAGGATGGAGAAGAAAAATGCTGCGAAAAAATCGAGCATCGGGTTAGGCAACCGAGGCTCGAATGGGGACGACAAGGCACGTTATTCGGACGACAAATTTCCACGTCAGCGACGGGAGATGACGACGACGACGACGACGACGTCTGGTCGAGATGTAGTTTTTAGCTACTTATCTGCTTAATTATAATTTATTTTAATTATCATTATTAGTGGTAGTATTGTTAGTGAAGGGGTAGGGAGAGTAATTATACATAATGTGGACTAACTAGTTGTGAGCTTGCGCTTTTAATGATGTGTTTATTTATATTTTTTACTATAATTTTATGAAAATGAGGAATTTCAATTCAAAAGTTTTTTATTTGGTCCGAGTTTGACATTGTTGACTCATTTGACCAAACAGTCCAAATTGTATAGGGCCTTAGGTAGGCATGTCCAAAGGCTGGGCAAGTTTACGACCCGAACCGGCCCACTCGACCCGACAATTTATTGAATCGCCAATCCCCCTATATATTAATACAGAACGCGCTGAGCCTACGTGGCTGTTTCTGGTGTTTCGGAATTCTATGTGGCAAAATTACATGCTTCGTTATTAGGCTTGGTTAAATTTTAATTTAATTCCAAATCAAAAAATAATTAGGTTCGGATTACCATAAATATATTGATTATTTATGGTCATGTTACATGTATTAATTGTATTTTAATATCATTCCTTATTATAACTATTAAACTGTATATATATATTTTAAAAGTTAATAACTTTTGTATTTTTTATCAGTTTTACATATGTAATATATCAAATTAATCTTCTTTTGATGAGCTTCGATTTAACATCCATATTGTATGTATAAAAAAAAGAATTTATATTTATCTTTATAACAATAATAAAATTATTATTAATATTAATTAGAAATAAAATTATTTATCAACTAATATATTATATATCAAGTAGTTATATCATATATTTTATAAAAACTATTGTAATATAACGCATGTAAGTCATCAGTAACACATATCATTCTAAAATATATAGTAATATATATTTTTTTAAAAAAAAAGTAAACTAAATTTAATATAGTTTTCTCATTAATTTTAAAATTTAAGAATAATTTTTCAACAAACACCCGTGTAGTACACGGGTGTTGTACTAGTTTAAAAATGAAACATAGAAGATAAAAAAAAAAATAAGAACCGTCGTTCGACCGGAATGGGCGGGTCAAAAAAGGAAAAAATAAAAAAAACCGGGAACCGCCCTAATGGACCTAAATTTGTTTTATTGGGTTGGATTTTGTGTTTCATTTGACTAGGCTATTGTCACTTTTAATGGGCCGGACTGAAGCACAATTTAAATCCAGTCTTTAATGTTGTACACAATGTATGGTAAATGCTACGGTTTCGTTACGGTTATAAGGTGAGTTTATTTTCCATGTATTAGGGTAAATGTCGTCCCGAGATGAGTTTATTTTCCATGTATTAGGGTAAATGTCGTCCCGGTTTGACAACGTACTTTTTTCTATTAGGGTAAATGCTACGGTTTCGTTACGGTTACAGATTCAACAGAATGGTTATGTGGCATATAAATAGAAATTAATTAGCGTAAATTTGTCAAACCGGGGGCAAAACGAGTGCGGTCCCACACAAGTGAAGCGCACTATAAGAGGGTTAGCCCAAATGAAGCCTAAGTGATGTTCCATCCCAAAATCAATTGGTGGAAGGAGGAGTAACCCATTAGACTTATAAGGTGAGTCTATTTTCCATGTATGAACGATGTGGGACAACTCACAAGTGATATTCTAACAAACTTCTAATTACCTATTGATAAGTAAACTAATTATACCAGTAATTCCTTCACCGGG